GAAGTTTTTGGTCTTTGTATATTAATTGAAGTTCTGCAACCTTAATTAAATTGCCTTGTTTTTCAAACTTTTGTTTAAGTGTTTTGAAAAAGTGCAAAACGGTACTTCTATCTTCTAAATAAAAATCTACAATATAAAATTTTTTATTACTTCAGAATTGTCATTATAATTTAGTTTTATTTGGGACTTAATAACAAAATTATTGTTTTTTCGCCTTCATCTAATTGCTTCATTAGGTTTTTTCTTCTCTCTGTAATACAACAGGTGTTTTCTAATTCTAGTCCAATAACATTTAAACATCTTTTAAAAACTTTAATTGGTCCAGGAGAGGGTAAAACTTTCATGTTGAGTTTTGGTCATCCTCTTTTTACTATATTTGATCCACATATTAATTTACTCCTAGTAATAAGACATATATTACATTGGAAAAACTGTTGGTTTCTAGTAAAAATAGTTTCTTTGATCTTAACGAGAAATCAAATAGTTTACTTAAAATCATATTGGTGTTAACTTTTTTCATTTTTACTTAATTAGTTCGACATCTTCTACGAATTACATTTGGATCATTCAAGTTAATATTGTCAATGAAATATTTTTAAATTCTCAGTAATATTTTACTTTCTCCTCGTATTTTACTCCAATTTTTTGCACTTAACAAAACACAAATAGCAACTGGTTTTTAATTAACTAATTTTAAATATTTTAGCTATAAAGAATGATTTTGACGTTTATTTAAATTGACGTGATACAAATTAATTAATAAAGAATGGTTTTGACGGTTATTTAAATTGACGTGGTACAAATTAATTAATAAAGAATGATTTTGACGGTTGTATAAATTGACGTGATAGAAATCAATTAATGAAGAATGATTTTGACGGTTGTTTAAATTGACGTGATACAAATTAAAACAGCAGTTAGTTAATGAAATTTTTTTAACATTTTATAACCTTTCGTAAAACATTCAGAAGAATTTTTAAAAAACTACTTAAAGTAACTATTTACAAATGAGGGAACAAGCCTCTGAATCTGTTCATCATAATTTTAGTCAGTTTTGGGAAAACGGTTACAAGGTATTTAAAAGTCACAAAAATTATTTGAAAAATTTTCATAAAGCTATTGTTACACACAACTCTCGTACAACTATATATTTAATATAATATATAAAATATATATAATATATATAAAACATCACTAAAAACCTCAACGAAAAAACTAAAATCTACTTTTTATTTGTGTCCGAGTGATCGGATCCAATCATATTAAAACTTAAGAAAACGCCCCTAACGTAAAACCCTTAAAACGTTTTGAATTATTTTTTTTTTTCATATTTATAACAATCAAAACTTATCGACGATTTTTAAATATCATTTCAAAAAAATATGCCCTTTTAAAGTTGTGACCTTTTAAAGTTATATTTGGAGTTATTTGGGGAATAGTAAACCATAAATGGTAATAACTTTTTAACAAGAAGAGATATTTGTACGAAATTTTGAATCTGCCGATCGATTTTAACCTAGTTTAAAATATTATAAAGTTATGTTTTTTTAAAATCAAAACCATACATAATACACAAGGACCCAATCTTTTGGTTCCACAGCGAATAATCGATAAAAAGTGGAAATGTAAAGAATGGAAGGAGATAAACAAGAATTTTTATCAATTAGTAAAATATGACATGGGTTTAAGCACTGCTTGCATAATTAAACACAGAGCTTGGTAGAAAAATACATGTTCCCTACATTCATTTGGTACAAAAACGAGGTATATCCGGTAATACCTAATTTTTGCATCAGATATATTTCATGTTTACGTTACATTGAGTAGTGCCCGTTTGCGTTTGTTTAAATATTAAGTTTACTTTTCAAAGTCAGACAAAATATTTTTAATTTCTTCCTGCCAGATACTGTATGCTAGTATAGTGTTAAATCTGGTAATGGCCGAAAGTGTTCTTGTGTATACGCAACAAAAGTAGGAAAAAGTTGGTAAAAAGTAGAAAAAAATAGCCTTTTGTTCATTGGATAATGTGAGTGGAAAAAGAATAAAAAATATTGTTAAACAGTTGCAAAAACATGTTTCTGTTTCAAGAGATATGCGGGGGGAAATAAATAAATCGTTCCAACGTGACTGAACCAACCGTTCCAAGACATTGAAAAGACAAAGAAAAAGAGAAAAAGAAAACTTTTACCAGAAAAATTGATTTCTCCAGTTGGAAACACATGTCAAAAAAATACTGTTGTGTCAGTAAACTAAGAGCTGTTTTTGAACTTTAGTAGCCATTTGTCTCATTTGTTCAAAAAAAATGTCAATAATAATCGCAAAGAAAAGTTTTTCATCTGGTCTTTCCGTGCAATGTATTATTCAAAAATTATGTGCATTGGGCCAGTTTGGCCGGTGGTTTTTTAAAAGAAGATTTTGTCCATCAAAAATGTGAAGGCAGTCTGACTTTATTAAATAATCACGTTCAACGTTATTCAGGAGTAAAAACGATGAAGCGTCCGAAATATTTACAAGTAAAAGAACTTGAAGAGAAATATGTTCCACCAAACTGCATGTGGTTTTACAACATGTTAAAGTGCAAAGTTGGAGAACAAGATGATCCATCTTTAAAGGATTGCTTCACAGACAAACAGACAGTTTTTTTTAATGTGATTTAACATTTTAAATAAACAGAGTACAAATTTTGAAAACTTTGCTATTTGTCTATTTTGATATTCTTTTACTGAATTTAAATCAAAAAAAAAAAATTAGTTTTATTTAAAAAATTTATAAAAATAAAGGCAACAGTAACAAATAAAAAAACACATATTATTTAAATAATTTTTATGAAAATTTAAGATTGTAAATCAATAAATATAACATTTATGAAACTTATTTGATGTATTTTTGTTATTTTTAGACTTTTTTTATTGGATCATAACATTAAAAAATTTAATTTCATCAGGTGCAAAAACAAGAACTCAACAACCTGTAATTTCAATATTGTCGTTAGTATTAATGATACAATGATAAAATTTAAAGTGAACATACATTTTATACTAAGCTACTACCCACCTATGCATAAAAATTGGAAAATTTTGAAAATCTCAAAATTGTTTAGTTTTTTTTTTCTTCTTAACAATTTGAAAAAACGGAGTTACATAGAAAAATTTTTTAATCAATACGAAACAAGTAATGAAAAATTATAACAAAGTTGATTTTACTAACAATATTATACACTAAGAGCTTTTGTAGATTCATCAAAGGCATTTAAGATTTTTCGATCATAAAATCCTTTTCTATAAGTTGCAAAACTACGAAAATTTGAATTTGAATTTAAAATGGCTTCAGTCTTATCTTCGGAATCGTACACGAATGTACTCAAGTATGCACAAGTGTACACACGTACAAAAGTATACAAAAGTGAATACAAGTGTACACACGTACACAAGTGTACACAAGTGAGTGTACACAAACAGTGCACATTAGAATGGCAAATTTTCATATTTATTCCGTTATCAAAACCTTGACCTCGACAGTTCTGCATGTCTAATCCTAGTTTTTTTAAATTTATTTAAAAAAAAAATCTGTCAAGTGAGCTCCTGTTTGACAGTCTACTGGTAAAAATAAAATGAAATCTTCTTTTATGGCAATTTCTGATTCTATCTCAACAAAACGAATAGTCAACAACATTTGTTCAGTCTGAGAGAGTTTTGGTGAAAGGTCTAATGTGTGACAGTCTGAAACAGGTCTGATGTGTGACAGTCTGAGACAGGTCTGCCGTATGACAGTCTGAGAGAGGTTTGATGTGCAGTCTAGAATAAACGAAAAGTACTTTGCTTTCTTGCACTGCATAATAAGTTCTTCTCTTCATGAATAAGCTTAAAGGTCAATCATTTCATTATGAATTTTTCACAAAGGTATCAGAAAAAAATTTCTTCTAATTAGATTTGTATGATGTGCTCTTACAAAACCCAGTGGCGGATTGAGGTTTAGTGTCGCGGGGGGGGGGGGCAAGTCAATAAATAGGGGCGACCGGGGTTGCCTTCAGTAATTTAATCTTATATATATATATATATATATATATATATATATATATATATATATATATATATATATATATATATATATTAATTGTTTTAGGGGGCGCCGTTAGACCGTTCTAGGGGGGCGTGGGGGGCAGCTTGCCCCCCCCCCACGCCCTATACTAAATCCGCCACTGACAAAACCATATCATACTTTAATGGTACTTAGACTTATATCGTTTTCATTTAATGGTACTTAGACTAATATCGTTTTCATTTTTTTCGCCAGAATTTCAACTAGTCCTAAAAAATTACCATTTTTTGTATTTTGCAGTTTTTCACTTTATTTGAAAAAAGCTATGTTTCTTTCAGCTAAGAAATGTGTAATTAAAAAAATTCTTTCTAACACACCTGCCTATTATTTGCTATAGATCTATAATTTTTATGCTCAAAATCGATTGTTTTATTTATTTTTTATTGAGTTTACTATAGTAGTCCATTTATGCATAGCTTCCATATGAGACTTACCGCTTGTGTGAGTTTTTAATTTTTCTGACAGTTTAAGCCAGTAACACACAACACCACCAGAAAAGTCTGTTGCGACTCGCAGTTGAAACAGAACACGGCTTTTTTAAATTTTTAATAAACTAACTAATGTCTAGGCAGCTTTTCACTATTAAGAAGAACTTTAGTGTCATAAGAAGCACTGAATTTTCTAGAATATTTTTCATCTCAAGGAAAAGAAAAATTTCAGGACGCACAAAATTTAAACGATTGCAATCACTGAGGTGTTCAGGTACACTTAGGTAATAAAATTTTGCTATTACTACCAAATTCAACTAAAAGCCGCATTTTATATTTCAAACTTGGCACCAAAGTTGAAGTCGAAGTAAACTTTACCTTTTAGTAAACTTTTCAATCCGAATATTCATTGGTTCTTAATCTTAATTAAATCTTCTTAAAGAAAAAAACAAACAAAAAATGTTTAAAGTTAACCTTTTTAAATCTACAATAGAGTTAATTTTAAATCCAACTATATTATTCGTTTTTTCTTCAATAGCTATTAAGCTGACTCCATCTTCAATAGATTTTTTAAGATTGTTTTCCCAAGCTACACTTCTAGTTATCACATCAAATTGCGATAAAAGAAAGGTACATATTGGCACATCTAAAGCAAAAAATTAATAACCATAAACAAGTTTTTTATATTTGAAAACATATGATTATACTATTCAAAAGAAAACCTAAAATATTTTTAAAGCCATTACATTTTATTATTTCTGCACAAGAAATATTATTAAAAGCCAATATTTTTATTATTGCTGCAGAGTAAACTGGGGAATAAATAAACAGTTTGGCTTTGGCTTTAAGTTCAATACTGATTTTCGAGGAAAAATATTTCTTCTTATTTTTTTTAAATATCATTATTATAATAGAGAATTTTTCCCACGATATAATTATATAAATATTAAGAAAACAGTTTTTAGAAGAAAATTTTTTTTTGATAAAGATAAAAGTTTTCTTTTTTCTTTTTAATAGTAATAATAATTCAAATGCTGTTGAGATAGAGCGCCAGGCAATATCTTTGAAACAATAGTTGTCTAAAACTGCAACCTCTTGTTCAATATTCTTTGCAAGTCAATCAGCTTAAGTCTGGATTTAAACTTTTTGACTGATGTAGACTCCACTACGTATTCCGGTAAATTATTCTATCCGAAGACAACCCTGTTTGTAAAGAAGTGTTGTCTACTTAAATAATTTTTAACTAACTCTGATTTAACACGATGATTATAACCTTTATTGGATGCTGGACCTAGTATATTGATTGAATGCATTTGTATCTGGACTTTCTTTATAGCAATAGATTCAAAACCTTTATATAATTTTTATTGTTGTACAAGGTCACCTCTTAGTTTTCGAACTTCTAATGTTGTTAAATCTATTATATTAAGTCTTCATATTATATCTCAGATGTCTTAATTCTGGTATCAATTTAGCTGCTCTTCTTTTTATAATTAAGGAAAAATAACCGCCTAATAATTTTACTTACCATTTTATTAATTTGGTACAAGAAAACTAGTTAACATTTAATAACAATTAATAAAAATAATCAAGTTAAATTAATTGAGAATAAAATAAAATCTAACTTTGATAGAAATTAAATTCAGAGGATGATGCAGCTTTAAAAAAGTGCATTTTTGAAGCATTTTTATATTAAAAACTAGTGAATTTAAATTTTTTGTAAAGATAACATATATTCGCACAGCAAGGGGCAGAGGTAAGTTTTTATTTTAACACGTCGAAAAACAAACAACTTTTGTAAGTGACGCAACTATGCCCGCTGTTCAAATTATAAAAATAGGCGCGGGTGGGTGTAAAATGATTTTTTTTGCAATTCCAAAAGAAATTGTTGTAATGCAGTAATTTTTTCAAATTAATATAAAATAACAAATTGTAAAAAATATAAAATTCTCCTTTTCCATGAAATTGACAATTTTAAAAAGAAATTAAAAAAGTCATGATTTGTTTTAAAAACATCTTGCACTGCAATATTTTATTATTAGGACTTAAATTTTGACTATTTAATAGTAAAAATCGTTTTAAGTTATAAGAAAAAAGCATAATTAAAGAAACCTTTCCATACCGAATAAAATCAAATATTATTATCCAAGATCAAATTAGGGTTAACAATTAAGTATACTGTTTCACATATACTTTAACAAAATCAGAATATGTTAAATAACTAAGTAATAAAAAACTCTAGGATAAATTATGATTTGGCCAATAAACAAGAAAGATAATTAACATTTAATTAAGCTATAAAAACTTTTCCAGCTAAAGCGGTATTTAATAAACAGTATAGATTAGGTTATCTAAAACTAAAGAGAACGTTCACTTTGAAAGCCTAAAAATACAAGTTTGTCTTGTTAAACAAGTTTTAATCTGCATAATATAAATCAAGTTTTTGAAAGTTATAAAAAACTTTTTTAAAAAAAGTTATTTTATTCATTATGGCATTTATAATGTTGATGAAAGCAACATAATGACCGTGCAACCGCAACGTGGAACAAAAAACTTGTTCAGTGCGTGTCTACTAAATTTGGACTGCTAATTACTATTTGTGGTATAAAAAAATATTGAAAATAACATTTCATCTGTCATTGGAACATTTTTTTTTTCGTTTTACGGTTTTATGAAACCATAATAAGAAGACTAATTTTAACATTTTTTCTGTAGCGCACCCATCGTATGCAACCTTTGAACATTACCATGTCAACATTAAATGGTCCTTTCAAGCAAAATTACCTAAATATTAGAATGATCAACTCAGGGAAAACATAAGCAATACACAATTTATTCAGGATATTGACATCATTTAAATTACAAAACATTAATTCAAGTAATTTTCTTCAAGGTTTTTTCTCACGTGGAATATATTCACGAAAAGATTTCTGTAACTTCTTATGTGTCAAAATAACTAGTCGTCCTCTGACAGAAATATTCAGTATAACTATCACCTAAGATCATCACAAGATTCCTATCACATCTATTGGCTCAGTTATTAAAAAAAAGATTATACTAATGATGAGCAGAACCAAAATGTTATTTTCAATGCCCTACATTTAAACCTTACCACAACATCTGAATCTGTAAGACCATTTCCAAAAGCTCTACTTTAGAAAAATTAGGAACCCCTTTGATGACTGTTTGATTGTTGGTGATTTTAACCTCCCGTATAAAAAGTGATTTAATGCTAGTAAAAAACCTTTTAACCCAAAAAATTCTAGCTAGTATGATTTCTAGAATATTTACAATAACCGCCTCTTAACACAACCTATCACGTTTTATACTTTTAAGATATACTGTGGTTACTCAAATAAAATGTTGTTCTACTATTTACCTATAGCAGTAATTCTATTTTAAACCTAATGCTATACTAGGTAACAACACTGAAGGTCACTTTAATATCACTTAGAGAATCTTAAAAATTTTCAGAGTACTTGAAGATTGCTGAAAATGGTGCTAAAATAATTTCAGTTATTTTAGCACCATTTTTGATTTACGTATATCATGTTTACGTGAATCTCGAAATCAGTTATAAGTCTATTAGTTAATAAACATTAAACGAAAGAAACTGTTGAAACTGAGCATTTAGGCGAACGACCAAAATAAAGTACTTTATACACTGAACGAAAATTTATTATTAAATCTATCGTGCAGCAAAAAAAAACATTTATATCTGCGAAAAGTACGTTTAGAGTTTTCAAATACTCACAAAACTTAGACAGAAGAACAGTGCAGAAAAATATTAGGGTCAGATGAGTCTAAGTTTAACGTAAATGGTTCAGAAGGTAAAAAAAATGTTCGAAGTCCTGTTGGCAAACACTTAAAACCAATGTACACTATTGGAACCTTAAAAAATGGAGGTGGAAAAAGCTTGGTAATTTGGAGGTGCTGTTCAGGATTTTCAGAAAATGATCATTATTTTGCATTGAAGGAATAATGTATAAACACGTATATAAAAAAGCTCTGGAGCAACACAAATTAGCTTTTGTAAAAAAAGCCTTTGAAATGGACATTCCAACAGGATAATATCTAAAACACTCATCAAAACTACGCAGGAAAAAAAGTTATATAAAATTTCTATAAACTTATAAACAAACATATAAGTAAAATCAAAATTAATAATAAACGTTTATATCCAATAAAAACGTTGTCAAATATAATTTGGTGTTTTTATATTTTCAAATCTCTCATTGAATTTTCATATAGATGCAATCCGTATGTGACGCACAAACGCAAAAAATATTTGGCTTCAACGATTTACGGAAAAGCCAAAATTATCATAATTAATGGTTTTAGGAATCAGAAATTATCAAGAACGGGGGTAAATCAAAAATTGAAGTATCAAACTTTTCATTTGAATGACATAATATGTTTTTTGTTTTTTCAATCTTGTCAAAAATTTTAAATACAATAACATAAACACAAAAATTCAAAACAAGACAGCTTGAGCAAAAAAGACTTGTATTTATTAGAAAAGTTTTCTTTTAAAGCACACGATTCTGTACAAAACGTTATATGAGTCGATTTTTTACATTTTTATATAACATTTGTATTTATATATAAGCACTACTCTATTTCTATGCAATAAAGCTGCGTTTTAAACCCGCTTGAATTGCTTGAATAATTGAATAGTGTTGGTTAATTGAAAATAGTATAAGAGTTTGTGAAATGATTTGTTTTTTAATTTCACAAAATCGATAAATCAGTATAGATCAGGTTTAATGCGCTGGCATCGGTGCCGTTTTGCGAGGTTTAAAATTGCCTCTGAACACAATGTATTTTCTATTTTTTGAATCTGGCCATATATATTATAGCACATAAATAATAAAGTAACTCAAAAAAGACTTTTATTTGTTAAAATAAATATTAAAGTTTTTTTTAGCTACGGGCATTTTATTTTCTTGTTTGTTTATTTGCCTTTGTTTGCAGCATTTTCTGGAATGGTAGAACTGTCTTATTAAATTTTTTTCTCATAAAGTTTCAGATCATAATTTTTTTTCAGACCACCCGCAGCTTATTAGGACTAATTTCCCGAACACATTAATAACATAAGTATTTTAATCATGACACATACGCAAATAATTTTTTACGTTGTTTTGAAGTTTTCAGAATTTTTATCTTTTGTTAACGTTTGTTATAGTGTATAATATCTTTACATATGTTATGCATATAGTTTCCATAAAACTTCAAAAGTGTTTTACCATGTATTTTAAAACAACCAAAAAAGATTAAAAACTATACATATTGCCAGCGGTAGGATTCGAACGACGCCTTTTCCGTTCAGAAGCTAGGGGTTAATGTGCCACTACTCAATCATTCAGCATAACAGCAGCATCTCTTTAAAGTCATGTTAAAGGCATAGATAAACAATTGGCAGTGGTTCAAACACAAGATTTCTGCAACATTTTGAACTAACCCTGGCAGATACACTCATCAAGTTAACCGTTAGGAGTTTTGATAGAACTTACAATCATCATCACTTTAGTTCACGGTCGTTTAATATCGATCTGTTTCAGACATTTATAGTGCGCATGCGTTTACATTGATTTTTTTTTTTGAGTCGAAATCCTATATTTTAGAAACCGTATAAATAGGCACACA